ATGCATATGATAGACAAAAATTTAATAATGAAGCCTTTATCATATAACTGGCTTATGCTAAGAAATTATATTTAATATATATACTCGTAAAATAATTTTAATGAGGAAATTTTTAGTTAGTAACTATACCTAAGCCCACCACTCTCCTGATGGTGTTATCTCCAAGTATCACCTTGCCTCCTGCCCTGGCCTTTATTGAATGATTTGCATCTCCAGTCATGTGTCTTGAACATCCATTGTCCAAGTATCACATGCTCTCAGCCTTTTGTAAGGCAACCCTTCAAAATCATCAAAGGTTAGAATTAGGAACCCAACACCTTATGAATTGAATAATGAGATGCATATATGTTATGTTATGGTATATGCAATTTTGATCTCCATAACATATGTGTTCTATGATGGATAATGTAAGTGTGGGAGATATGTCTTAGCATGCCACAATAATAACATCTAATATCAGGAAAAGAGTTTATTAATCTATATGAGTTATGGTGCCTCTTCCTAGGCTTCAATGATGCATGCTATGGTGATGGATTATGTAACTGTATAAGTGTATGTGATGTTTTATTTTCTTTCAAAGCATTTAATTTGACTTGTAAGAATTTGTTTGTACTTTCAAAATTGAATTTTCAATTTTCAATGCATGCTCTCTATTAGCAGCTTCATCTAAACATGCTTTTAATTTGCTAAATGAACTTTCTACATCAACATGAGATGCTTTCAAGGAGTCAAGTTGTGTAGTTAAATCAAGATGCTTCTTGTTTAAAATATCAAATTCATCTAATAAAATCATATCATTACTATCAAAAGTAGAATGATCTTTCTTAAGACATTCATGCTCTTTTTATAAAATTGAGAAATCAGAATTCAACTTTGCATACATTTTCTCCAGCTTCATACATGCATTATGAATTTTTTTAGAAACTTCAAATAGTTCATTATAGGAAAACTTACATGCCTCCTCTTAATCAGAATGATCAAGATGGTTATCTGAAATTAAGCACAGGTTGGTTACCTCCTCTTCAACTTCTGTCTCAGATGAGTCTAAAGCGGAGTCTGTCCAGAAAGCCTTTTGAGTCTTTTGCTTGCCCTTTTTAAACTTAGATTTTTCTTCACCCTTCTCTTTGATTGGGTGAATTTTCAGATTTGGGCAATCCGACTTCAAGTGCCCTAGTTTCCTTCATTCAAAACAGATAACATTAACAAAAACCTTAGAATTTTTATTAGTTTTATCTTTGCTCTATTGTTGATGATGCTTTTACTTTTCTTTAGAAAGCTCTTGAATTGTCTTGTCGTTTGTGTTATGTCATCGTCATCCTCAAGTGTAGAATTGTCACTATCATAATCATTAGCCTTTAAGGCTACAGTTTTCTCCTTTCTCTTTTCTCCTACATAAAGTAGTCTTTGACTCGCTCCTTGCTCGTAGAGAATAAGTGATCCAAATAAGTTATTAATGGAATAAATATTCAAATCCATAGATTTAGTAATATCAGTAATTTTTGCATTATAGAAAGTAGATAGGCAATGCAAGATCTTGTTAAATTTTTCCATAGTTAGTAAGTTCTCTTCCTAAGGTATGCAAGAAAGTAACAATCTGAGTGAACTAGTATACATTTCAAAAATTGATTAACTAGGTTTCATACGAAAAAAGTTCATAGTCATTGAGTAGAATATTCAACCAAGATTGTTTTACTTTATTTGCTCCTACATATAGGTTATGTAGAGTTTGTCTCAAATTTCGTTATTTATTGTGCACGCAAAAACACAGATGCAATCTTCAGATTTTAGTGCACAGAAAAAATAGTTAAAATATTTAGCATTCAATTGGGTTAAATCTCTATCTTATACGCTCCATTCCAAAAAAGGGAGTTTAATTTTCATATCATTAACAAGATGTGAAGGTGCAGAATATCCTTCCTGAATTAACATCCACATGCAATAATCTATAGATTGCAAGAAAATAGACATGCAAATTTTACAAAAATCAAAAGAAATATTATCAAATAAATGTTGTTGTCTGATTGAATATCCTTATGCGGTATCATGATTACCAAAGTTAGTCATTGATCATTTTTCAAAAGTTATTTAAAACATAGTTTTTGAATCCCTCTCTAATACCACTTGAAAGTTCATGAAGGTGGTTAAACCTTTAAGAACTAGCCCGGGGCAAACCGGGTATGCCTCTAACTAAATCTTCTTGGATGATTTTTTTCTATGATTTTTCATGCTTGCATGATAAAGTCTTTTGTGCCACAACCAAGATTCATCAGCAATAGTTTTTAGGCAAAGAGAGTTAGTAGGTTCAACACAGTCTAAATTAAGCATGTAAATATTATTGATTCTTATTCCTTGTAGCACAATATTTCCATTTAAGCTTATAATGCATATGATAGACAAAAATTTAATAATGAAGCCTTTATCATATAACTGGCTTATGCTAAGAAATTATATTTAATATATATACTCGTAAAATAATTTTAATGAGGAAATTTTTAGTTAGTAACTATACCTAAGCCCACCACTCTCCTGATGGTGTTATCTCCAAGTATCACCTTGCCTCCTGCCCTGGCCTTTATTGAATGATTTGCATCTCCAGTCATGTGTCTTGAACATCCATTGTCCAAGTATCACATGCTCTCACGAGGCCTTTTGTAAGGCAACCCTTCAAAATCATCAAAGGTTAGATTTAGGAACCCAACACCTTATGAATTGAATAATGAGATGCATATATGTTATGTTGTGGTATTTGCAATTTTGATCTCCATAACATATGTGTTCTATGATGGATAATGTAAGATGCGGAAGCAGATTAATTTCACAATAATAACACATTCATAGTTTTCAACCACACAATAAATCACAGCAAAAATGGAAATTAAAATGCGGAAAAATGAACGAACACACTAGATTTTATAATGGTTCGATCAAATCTGACCTACGTCCACTACTCGGAGGCTTCCTCTCTAAGTATTGCACTAAACCTTTTAATGCCTCTTCTTTAGCCCCCACAGCTAAGCGAAGAAGCCCTTATAAAAATCTCTTCCACCAACTCGGTGTGTTAGAGTATCTTAAATTTTTTTCACCCTCCTGGTGAAGGCAGAGAACCTGAACTCCTTTTTCTCCCTCCTGGAGATGGCAAAGAGCCAAAAATCCTTTTACTTCCTCCTAAAATTGGCAGAGAACCACGAATCCTTTAACTCCCTCTTGGAGTTGGCAGAAACCCACGATCTAATGCTGAGGAATGTCTACCCAGAGCCACCCAAGAATCAAAGTAGAGACTTGAAGAAGATTGCAAGGAACTTTGATTGGAATAACCTTGTGATGCTCTCACAACTCCCCCTCACAAGGACTCTCCCTCTCTTCTCCCAAAGCCCTCCTCAACTCTCTCTCTCTCTCTAAGCTCCCTCTCAAACAACTCAACAACAAAAGATTTCTCACAAGTCCATGTAAGAGTTTAAATAGAAAGCCTAATAAAAGCCCTAATTTTCAATTTGTAGTCTAAGATCGTCCAGTACGATCGTGCGATCGTCTTGTACGATTAGTACAAAACACTACTTCGAGACAGTACGAATTACATTGTCCTGTACGATCAGTTAAAAAATGTTTGTACATATCGTCCAGTACGACAGGCGAAGATTAATTATCGTCCCATGTAGATCACAATTCATACAGTACGAAAATGAGGGATCGTCCTGGACAATTAGTTGAAAAACTATGATATTTCATCTTGGACGTGGACGACGATTAATTATCATCCCATGCATGAATCGGGTCGTACAGTAGGATCATCTTTGATCGTCCTATACGATTTAATTGAACAATTTAACATAAAATAAACACCCAATCATAGGTTAAATTTAGGCATGATTGTCGTCAATCGTATGGTACGATGAAGATGGTACGATATGATTAGAAACAAATTTTGAATATTAAAATATTAGCTAAATTGTGATCAACAGTTATTTTATCGATTGTAATTGATGGTACTGTACGATTCAGATCATACATTACGATGAGCTTAGTCATTCTAAATTAACTGGGTGTCATAATTAGAGTTTTCTATTTTAATGGATCGTACAGTACGATTTCAGTACGATATAAATCGTACTGTACGATTAGTTTAAAAAATAGAAAATTTTCTAGCTCACCAACTCACTCGCTTGAGTTTGTGTGTGCGAGATTACTTAGCTTAGTATCCACCATATACATGAGTTGACTCAAGAAAGATAAAAATACATTGAAGTGAAAATTACAAACATACTCAAACCTAGTCTACCTAATTTTGAGCTGATTAAAGTTGCAAGTGAACGATGGACCTGAAATGTAGGTGAGCAAAAAACAAAATAGATATGCAATAAATAGTAGTAAGAAAACAAAAATGTTTGTTATCATCAAAATCACAAAGTCCAAATTTACAACAAATTTGAATCTTAAACTTTTAGAGATAGATCTTCTCCCTTATGGTTCCTTGTTTTTTGTTCTCACTAGAACAAAGATGGGAAAAAACATTAATTTATTAACCGGTGTATCAAAGAAAATTTACCTCAATAAAGTTGGTCACCAAGCCTTAGAAGAAAGATCAAGTACATATAAGATCAGAATTCATAATAATTTTAGCTCTTAAACTTGAATTCAATAGTTGATCAGTCATTAACCATAACATGTTAAAACTATCCAAAAAATAATATCTTCCGTTTTTGAATTAGCTTAAGCCCACCAGCACTCCCACATCATCTTCATCAACTTGAAGAATAGAAAATAAGTAGCTCAAAGAAATTTATAAATATCATAGGATTGCCACGGTTGTGTATAAGGAAAATAGTCAATAACGAATGAAAAAACAAATAAACAACAAAGTTGATGAAACTACGCAATATTAATTTTATGCAATTATTGGTTTTAATGAATAGATTGGGTACGTCAGAAATTGGACATGAACTTAGAAGATTTAAAACAGATAAAACATAAAAACAGTTTGGAGCAACTCAAGGTAACCATACTGCGTCCACATTGTGCCCAAGACAGTGGAAAGCTTTTACAACATCATTAATCAAATTGATGTTGCCAGATTTCATAAATGATGCAGCAAATTTCTCAAAAGATGGCGTAGATATCATCTCCATGTTATCCTGTTCATAGAAAAAACCGAAAATTAAAAGAACTCTATAATCAATTATTCAATGTGAAAAAAATCACAATACCTTCACTACGACGTAAGCATCTTTCAGGAGACCTGCTTCAACTAATATATTTAGCATTGTCTCATGAAGGGATTTGCAAACGTTTCTATTGCTGTATCGCAACATATTATAAACAGAAAATGATTCAGAAAAGGAACCAGCTTTGGCCAACTGTAACATAAGGGAAAGGCAAAGCTCCTGCAAACAGAAAGACATATTAAGGCGGAAATGGTGTATTTTCAAGACATTATACAGCAGATAGAATGGAAAAAACACGTTTTTCTAGGACAAGAATGGTTACAAGCATAAAGCAGAAACAGTAAGGACATCATATTGCAAGGATGAGAATGCGTCAACTAGTTTCTAAATAACTTGGAAGCATAAAAGGTTTTGTAGAAAAGTAGAAATCTTTTGTAGATGAGATTATAGCAATGTTGATGGCAGATTTATTTTCACAATATATATTCATTGGTCATTCCTATTTGATTTTTAAATATTCCAAAATAATTTTGATCCACAGAAGCTTGTAGATTCCTTGGATAATAGCTCTAAATTCAGGCACATCACTAGATCTTAAAATAACATGTTATTTCTTGTTCTTCCATGTTAGGAGATTTTCTCTCAAATTATACAACTCTAGTTGTGGATCTTCTATTCACTAGTGATCCTGAAAAAACTACATTAGTATATCATTCAATTTGTAAAGCATCATACTTTTTATAGAAGATTCCTTTTATAAGGGCTTGATTTAAGGCATTGGAAGATTCAATAAGCAGTTTGAAGTTGTGATTCTTTGGATTTGTGCATGAATTAATCTATGAGACTAACTGAAAATGTACGTTTGGACGAGTCTGGGATCAAAAGATCATTTATAAACTAGTCTTTGATACTGTCCCATATCTACTTTTCCTTCTTCATCTACATTTAATTTTTGACCAGATCAATTGGAGCTTCACAAGATTTGTGATTAATCATTTTTATTTCTTTTAAAAGATCCATGAAATACTTTTGTTAAGAGAGAAATATTCATTGCACTAATTAATCAACTTCTATTTCTAGAAGAATTTAAAATTTTTCAACTCTTTGATCTCAAATTCTTCAACAATCTTTTTTTCTTAAAGACTCCTCTTTATTGTTATTACCTATGATAATTATATTGTTAACATATGCAATGAAAATTGAGACATCAATGGAGTATTTTATGAAAATTGTATGATCTCATTGGCTTTATTTATATCTTATTTCATTCATTACTTTTGGGAATCTGCTAAATCATACTCTTGTTTAAAATCAAACAAAGGCTTTTTAATTTGAATACTTAGTTCTTTGTGAAAAAATTATTAAATATAAATTGTTGATTGTCAGTAGAAATTGTTGTAATTATTTTTTTATGCTTTACTGTAAAAATCTTTCTTTTAATCGTTGGGTGCAGGAAATTCCAGGAGAAATGGCAGAAAATTTGGAAAAAGAAACAGCGTTGCAACACTGCATCATCAAGCACCACATCGCTCTCAGCACAACTTAGGCACTATAGCACCAAAGAAGAGCATCATAGTGCTGATTGTTAGTGTAACTTATTGTAATATTTTTTGTATGTTTTACTGCTAAAATCTTTCTTTTGATCATTGGGCTGTGGGAAATTCCAGAAAAAAAGGCTAAAATTTTGTAAAAAGAACCAGCATTGCGACATTGCATCATTAAGCGAAGCATCGCTCTTAGCTCAACTCAGGCCTGCAGCACCAAAGAAGAGTGTCTCTATGCTCAGATCTCTGGATTTTTCATATTTAATTTAGCGCTCCATCACTAACCAGTGGAGTGCTGCAGCACCAGATCCCTAATTTTTATCAAAAAAATAGAGAGCGCAGTGCCACAGCGGAGGAAATCGAGCACCGTAACGTCAGAAATGAAGCATCATAGTGCCAAGAAAACAGCAATGCCACTGCGCGATATAAAACACTGAAGCTCCAAAACACTCCAACGCCACAGTGAAGAGATTCAGCAGCGTCGCAGCCCTAGTTCACTTCATGAACGCCACATCGCCACCCTTTGCAAAGCCATGGCAGTAGTGTCAGCTATTGTGTTTAATATAAATAGTATTTTGGTCGAATTTGTGAATGTTGGTCATATGTTTATTGTGCAAAATAGTGTGAGAGACTGAGTGGAGAGTGTGGGAGTGGGAGTACTTAAGGGAAAACAATTCAGAGAGCAAGACGCATTTGTAATCAATTGTAAAAGCACTTCCAGGTGATATCTTACTAACTCCTGTTTTGTATCTGGTTTATGTTGTTTAAATGAAAATTTTTTTGTATATTTTTTAATTAATGGCTAGCTAATTTACTTGTTTTGAACTTGTGATGTGTGACAAAGCATGATTTACTTAAGTAGACTCTAGTGCTTACAATGTTTAATGTTATTTTGAATTCTTTCAATCTTAATTAGTTATTGCATTGGTCAAGCTCTAACTTAAAATCTAGTGTGAATTAATGCCTCAACGAAAAAATAAGATTGAAAGAATTGAAACTAAGTTAGAATTGAAACGAAAATAGCCAACATAGGGCTTTTCATTTCAATTGAAAATAGAAGAATAAGTTACACTCTCCACACTAGGGTTTTTTATTTCAATTGTTCTATTTTCAATTCTTTCAATCTTAATTAGTTATATGCTCATTTCGTATCTTGTTTCTAAGAGTAAATTCACTCATCCACTTGAGCATCCTCATCTATGCAACACTTAATATTATACTTCTCTTTTAATAGCCAACATTTTGCATCATAAAGCATTGCAAGTCTGACCACGATCTTATAAATTGAATAAGCTTAATATCTTTCTCCCTTCAATTCAATCAGTTACAAGTGTGTATGTATCTAAAAGTAATAGCATTTGCTTTTTCAATTGATAATTGCATTTCTTACATCTTTAATGAGTTGTCTCCTCTCAATTCCGACACATTGCCCCCATTTTTATTTTGTAAATTTTTTCGTAACCTCCCCTCTGCATATACTACTGCATATACTACTAGAATCCTAAAAAAAATTGATATAATTATCTTTAGAAACTTCTACTAATTTTGAGAAATCTAAAAGGAAACTATAACATTGTAATATAATCAAACCACTTACTTAAATCTTTTTTTCCTAAACTTCTCTTTTTCCACTTCCTTTATATAGATCACCCTTCACTCACAGCAATACTTGCTTCCATCACTCACAATCTCTCTTTTTTTTTAAATTAATAAAAATATTTTACGAGTCCTCATTTAAATGTTCTTGAATCAGCCGAAGACCCACTGCTTCTAACTCTCTCACAGTCGAAGGTTCTAACAAGATTTCCTGTGTCTCCTGTACTCTTCTGCCACCTATTATTCAAGCTGAAGCCGATCCTATCTACACTCACCCGATCCCAGTTCTCCACTCTACAGTCAATTCCAGCCCTTGATACTCACTCTCCTCTCCTTCCTTCACACAGCCAAACTCCCACTCCCTTTGGTTCATTTTGCATGCGTGAAAACCAATTAGAAGAAAGGCCCACCAATAACTGTCACTTCACATTTCACAACTATTGAAAGCATCTATTTGGAATTAAAGCATTATCTAATTTAAGTTAACCTATACTTAGTATAAATACTAAGATTTACTTAACAGTTTACTTAATATAATTTAACTGTTAATAAAATTCACAATTGAAATAAAAATATTTTTTAACCTGAGCTTTTGGATATTACATCGCAGCACCTTGGGATCACAGAGCCGCAGTGCCACATCGCTTCCACAATGCCTTAGGTTGAACAACACAATCATGGCGTTCTATTCCCTAGAAAATTACCAATTTAATGACAGCACTGTGCGGTGCCACCCCAAGCACTTATGCTATCAAGAATTTCTGTACTTTTCTTTTATTTGAACAATAGTATATTTTGTTTTCTATTTTATTTTATTTTCTTTTTTAGCTATCCAATGATGGGAAAGCATCCAATGATCATGGTAGATTGTGCATAAGGCTTGGTAGACCTTTGGTTTGCTGGCTCGATTGGTCCTTGACTGCTGATGGTTCATGGGTTGGCTGTTTTGGAGCACTTGATATTGAACACATTCTCTTGAGTTGTTTGAGCTGAAGTTTAGTAGCTCATTAATATCCAAAAAGGTACCTCATTAAGAAGAATTACTTTGGAGTGGCCTTGTCCCTTCCCCTTCCCCTTTTCTTCTTGAAAAACCGTGGCTTGCTCTTTAATGGTGGCTGAATTCAATGCATTATCTTCTCCCCCTTTCTTCTTGGAAATCCGAGGCCTGCTCTTAATTATGGCTGAATTCAATGGAGAATATTAATTGGAAGCTGCTGTTTCCGTGCCTGGGCCCTTTTTCCGAAATTGTGGCCCCTTGTTTCCGTGAATTTCTTGGCTCCCATGAATGACTCTTCGGTTTTGGCTTTGGGTTGTTTGTTTTAAGAGAAAGCAATTATGATGTGACTCTTGGCATTCTCCTACTATGCCTATAAATAAGAGTAGATGTTGTGAAAGAAGTTAGTTGATATTTTGTGAGCATATTTGCTATTAAACCGCGGATTTATTCGGAAATCCTGCGGGCTCTTTCCACCCTTTCTTCTCGGGCTTCTAACATCTTCGTCTCTCCGCAAGTGCCACTCCATCTGTATCCTTCTTCACAATAGTGAAGCAACTTTAGGGTGTCGTGTCTTGGTTGATTTGGAAGCATTTGGACAATCTTGCAGTGGTGGACCATCGGTTTGCTAGACTTATGCACTTCTCTTATTTAATCTACTATTCGATGCATGTGAGGAACCCGCTCTGACGATTGTCTGAGGATAGCGTCTTTTTATTTTTCTTTATTTCTCCTAATATTTCATGTTGTGTTTTCAAGTCTTAGATGTCTGCTTTTATTTTAATAAAGTTTATTTTATGTTCTATAAATTGCGTCAATTTCTTCTTGTGTGTCTACATCAATCTTGGTATCAGAGCAAGTTCGTCTTTTTTTTTTTGTTTATAGGAGTCTTTCTCTTTCGTGTCAAAAAAAAAGGCTAATGAACAAGGGGATTGGCAACAAGTGATGCAACAATTAAATTATTTGCAACATCAAATTAATACGGTAGCTGAAGCTATTGCTAATCTAAATGTCAATCAAGCTAAAGTTAATCCTAGTATAATATCTTCTGTGAGTGAAGAGGAAGAACCTAGAAATCGAAA